GGGTTAGGGTTAGGGTTAGGGTTAGGGGGTTAGGGTTAGGGTTAGGGGGTTAGGGTTAGGGTTAGGGTTAGGGTTAGGGTTAGGGTTAGGGTTAGGGGGTTAGGGTTAGGGTTAGGGTTAGGGTTAGGGTTAGGGTTAGTTCTAGCTCCAGGTTATCTGATTTCTGGACACCTGCATATATGTGGTATACACACACACACACACACACACACACATGCATACATGCACACATGCGCTCGAATGCAGGAAAGCACACATTTACATGAGCACATACAGTTGCACATGCCTTTTTCTCATGGATACAGACTGCTCTATCCCTCACTCACCTCTGTTTGTTTGTTTGTTTGTTCGTTTGTTTGTTTTCGTTTCTTGAAACAGGGTCTCCCTGGGTGTCCTGGAACTCAGTTTATAGACTATGCTGGCCTCAAACACAGTGATCCACCTGTGTCTGTCTCCTAGTGCCAGGAGTAAATGCATGTGTCACCCCTCCAGGCATTTACTCACCTCTTATGTCAATCGCAAATAATTTTGCGGCTTTCAGGATTTTGACAGCGGCAACAACCATGATGACAGCGGCAACAACTGTGATGACAGCGGCAGTAACCATGATGACAGCAGCTATGATATCCACAATAGTCAGAGTGTTATAGAGGCCTTGCAGTTCTGGAATGAGAGCGAAGACAGCTGAGGCAGAGCAGTCTTCATTAGAATAACAGACCACAGAAGTTCCTGCTTCAATAAAATATCCAATAAAAATTAATTTAAAAAAAGACATTCCTGCTTCATGTCTAGTCTCAGAACCCATGGGGTCCTGATAAGGTCCTTGGAAGGAACAAAGGGTGTGGCTCACCAGGACAGCTGCAGGCGGCCCTGCTGCCCACAGACTGCTGAGACCATTTAGGAGCCCCGGCCTCACTCCTGTGAAATCCCAGCCCAGGGAGAGCCCAGGATGCAGATACATGGGGGAGGGCACAGCCAGAGGGAGCCCAGGCTCTGTCAGCTCCTGCATGGATGGTTGAGGGTCATTGAAGCTGGTCTCTCCCACAGCACTCTACCTAAGGCTTTCTTAGTCTCAGATAAGACCTTACTATATTTTGTGTGTTTAATTTTTCTATTAAGTTTCATTCTAAAACTGTTGCTTATTATTTATTTACTTTATTTTCAGTGTTTTATGTGTATAGGTGTTTTGTCGACCAGTATGTCTGTCCCCTGTGTGTATGCAGTTCCCTGTGGAGGCCAGAAGAGGGCTCCAGATCCATTAGAACAGGAGTTACCTAGGTGTTACTTTTGGTTGTGAGCTGCCATGTGGGTGCTAGACGTACTCTGCAACAGTAACAAATACTCTTAAACAATGTGTCATCTCTCCAGCTCCTACTTACTTATTATTATTATTTTTTAAATACAGGATCTTGCTATGTAGACCTGACTGTTCTAGTACTAGATATACAGCCTAGACTGGCCTTCAACTCACAGGTCCTCCTGTCTCAATAGCCTATGCAATGGAGTTACAGACCTGTGCTGTTTAACACTTGGGTATTTGTTTTTACTTTATTTTTTTATTAAATTCCATCTTTAATTATCTGCTATTACATACTTTGTGCGCATATGTGCATTGTGCCCTCTCACACACATATGTGTGAAGAGGTCAGAGGAGGATGTTGAGGGTCCTTCCCTATCACTCTCTGCCTTATTCCCTAGTGACATGGTATCTCCCTGAACCTGCAGCCAGGCTGGCAGCCAGTGAGCCCTAGAGAAGGGTGCACACCACACAAAGTTCTGGGATTTGAACTCAGGTCCTCAGGCTTGGGCAGCAAGCACTGTAATCCACTGAGCTCCCTGGCCCCATTTTTAAAAAACAATCAGCTTTGTTCAGTTTGTTCTCTCCATTCAAGTTTGGTTTCAGGTTTTTCGGGATTGAAATCCACGTGCCAAGTGCTTTTATCAGCTCCCTGGTTAAAGGATTTTTTTTTTAAATGTGTATGAGTATTTTGCCTGTAATTACATATGTGCACCATTTGTGTGCCTAGTACACAAAGTGGTCAGAAGACGGTGACCAAAGCTATGAAACTGGACTAACAGTTGGTTGTGAGCCACCATGTAGGTACTGGGATTGAACCCAGGTCCCTTGTAAGACCAAAGACTCTAAATCCCCAAACCATCTCTCTAGTCCCTTTCTGCTTGTAGTTTTAATGGAAACTTTCTTTGAGTTGGGAAGACAGCTCAGTTAGTAAAGTACTAGTCACACACATGAGCATCTGGGTTTGTATCCCGGGCAATCCACATAATCTACACCTGTAATCTCAACACTGGCTGGCACCACAAGCTACTCTTCCAGAGGACCCAAGTTTGGTCAGGTGGCTCACAGCCACCTCTAATTCCAGCTCCGGGGGATCCAACATCCTCTTTTGACTTTGGTGAGCACCTGCTCAAACAGCGTACATTCATATATATGCATATTATATACTATATATAATATATAGTATATACACATATGCATATGTGTGTATAACACATACATAAAAATACATTTTAAAAAAGGAGGAGAGCAATGGAGGGAGCCAGCCAATGTTGCCCTCTGGCCCCAACACATAGATGCACACATATACACACACTTTCAGACATACACAAACACACACACTACACACATGCATATATACACAAAAAACTTCTGTGGAAGTGGAAACGCTGATTTTGAAAGGTAAATCAACATGTCCCAGCTCTCAGGGGTGTTCACACTACACTGTAGATGGAGGACAAAGAGATTTTGAGCCCTCAGACATCAGGAAGCTCCCTGAAAACAGAACTGGTGACAGAGACACAAACAGAGGGCCCAGACTCACAAACACCTTGGTTTGAGACTGAGGTCTGAGGAGGAAAAGCTCCAACCAGACTCTGGGACTCTGTTTGCTGACTAAGACAAGATTTCTGTATTTTGGGTTGTGAGCCTAGGCATTAACAGCTGAACCATCTCTCCAGCCCAAAGATGAGACTCTTGACCTTCAGCCTCAAAGCAAAATCCAGTCCACTGCTTGTTTTTGTAAAGTTTTATTGGCATGTGGGCAAACAGTCATTCGTTCATAGTCCCTGGGTATTTTTCCTATTGTGGTAGTTTAATAGTGACTAAAGATGCCAATGTTATCTTCTCAGCTGTTTTAGTTAAGATGTCTATTGTTGGGATAAAACACCATGGCCAAAAGCAATTTGGGGAGGAAAAGGTTTATTTGAACTTACAGCTTGAGACTATCATCAGGGAAGTCAGGGCACGGACATAAACAGGGCAGGAACCTGGAGGCAGGAGCTGATGCAGAGGCCATAGACGGGTGATACTTACTGGCTTACTCAGCCTGCTTTCTTATAGAACCCAGGACCACCAGCCTCGGGGTGGAACCACACACAATGGGCCACACCCTCCTACATCAATCACTAAATAAGAAAATGTCCCATAGGAATTCCTGGCAGTCAATCTGATAGGTGTCATTTTCTTGACTGAGGTTCTCTTTCCCTAACTATCTCTAGCCTGTGTTAAAATGACATAAAAGCTAGCAGCAGACATTTTTAATGTGAATTTAGGAGACAGGCCCTTACCTTGTTTTGAGTCAAACATGTCGCACACAGTATCCATTGTGGCATTGCATTTCCTGATAACTCTGCCATCAGGACAGCTGGAAGGAAAACGGTGCGTTACCTCCTTCCACCCAGGCAGCCCAGAACTCACTCTTCACTACCCAAAGGGTTAGGAAGAATCAGCCCCATGCCAGAATGGTGCTATACCTAGCCATTCTGGCAAAAGCACTCTGAAGAGATTAGAGTTTAGGGGGATTTGTGATATTTAGGAGACGGACCCTCTCTCTTCCTAGATAGAGTACCTGGCTATGAAAACCACATAGAGGAAAGTCTGCCTAGAGACAAAGATGGTGTGAATGAGGAAGAGGCAAGCAGGTGCAGACACGGAAGAGGTTCCATGAATCTAGAGTTGAAGGCAGTCTTTATTCACATCAGGTTCCTGGTCTCACAGTTCAGTGATTTCTGAATTATGTTTATGAGTGCATAACCTGCCTCACAGATGTAAGTTATTGCCTGATGTGGTGGTGAATACCTTTAATCAAAGCACTTGGGAAGCAAATACAGGCAGAATGTTGTGAGTTCAAACCAGTCTGGTCTACACTGTGACTTCCAGGCCTAAAAGTGATGCACAGTAAGCCACTGCCTTAAATAAAAAAGGGTGTATGAGTGTGGAGAGATAGCTTAGTAGTTAAGACCACTTGCTGCTCTTCTAGAGAACACAGACTCTATCTACATGGGGGCCCACAAGCAGCTACAACTATAGTTCCAGGGGATCCAACACCCTCTTTGGGCCTCCATGGGCATCAGACATGCAGACAATCACCTATGCACATAAAAAATAAGCACTTATTATTTTTTTGATATTTTTTTACATTATGATTCATTACAGTTGTGAAGTAGCAACAAAACTTTTTTTTTGAGCTGGGCAGTGGTAGGGCACCCCTTTAATCCCATTAACTCAGAAAGCAAAGGCAGGCAGATCTCTGTGAGTTCGAGGCCAGTCTGGTCTTTAAAGCAAGTTTCCAGAGATCCAGGGCTACATGGAGAAACTCTATCGTGAAAAACCAAAATAGATAGATAGATAGATAGATAGATAGATAGATAGATAGATAGATAGATATGTAATGGTTGGGGCTCACCACACTATGTTAAAAAGGACTGCAGCAGCATTAGGAAGGTTGAGAACCACTGCCCCAGAGCCTGCAGAGGGAGTGAGGACCAGTGAGTACCTTTGATGTTGGACTTTGGGTTCCAGAACCATACAATAATAACTTCTTATTTTCATTCCCTGCTTGTAGTTTTGTTAAGTGGTCACCAGATTTTTTTTATCTTTTTTTTTTTTTAAGGTAGAATCTTATATAGCCCAGGCTGGCCTCAAACTCATTATGTAACCAAAGATAACCTTGAACTTCTGCTCATCCTGCCTCAAGGAATATTGGAAATAAGGCACACCACCATACATGGTCTATGTGGTGCTAGGGATTGAATCCAGGTCCACAAAAGCACTCAACCAACTGAACTACATCCCTGGCCCCACAGAATCCCTCTTTTAAAGATTTATTTTATGTTTAGATGTGTGTGTGTGTGTGTGTGTGTGTGCGTGCGCGTGTGTGTGTGTGTCTGTGCACATGAGTTCAGGTGCCCACAGAGGCCAGAAGAGGGCATTCGATTCCCTGGAGCTGGAGCTATAGGCAATTATGAGTCCCTTGATGTGGGTGCAGCAAACTCAGCTCAGGTCCTTGGCAAAGCAGCATATGCTTATCCCTGAGCCATCTCCCTAGCTCTCCTTCCCTACAGTGGGTCACTTTGTCACCCTACCTGCCTAGAGTTCTTTCCCCCTAGAACTTTCTATGTTTCCATCTCTCCCTGATTCACTGAGTCTCTACTCAAAGGTAATCTTGCCAGAGTGATTCCTTCAACAGAGTGTGCTGTGGCCCCCATGATCATGAATTCACTTACCAGTATTGTTTTTGAGACAGTATCTCTACCCTAAGATGACCTCAAACTTGCTATGTAGTTAGCCTTGAACTACCGCTCCTCCTCCCTCTATTTCTCTGGGACCAGGATTACCACAGCTGGTAAGTACAGTTATGAGGATGGAACCCAGGGCTTTGAACATGTCATACATGTAAACACTATCAATTTATCCTCATCCTCAGGCTACCACTAATGGTGGTGGAGATACGTACATAGCATTATGTTTTATGTCTCTCACTGTTAGGGAGGTGGCTCAAAGTCTGTTTGTTGAGTGAGTAAGTGAGTTAGCAAACAAATGAGCACTGACTCCAGGCAGCTTCCAGGAGGAAACAGCCTTTGATTTCATTTGTGTGGCAGGTGCTCCCCTAAGGAGCCCTCTACAGACAGGGACTCAGAGGCTAGGGAGCTAGCGGGCAGGAGCAGGGATCTCCACACATTACCCCTCCTCCAAGCTGGCACCTGCTGCATGCATGGCACATCTCCAGACAGTTTTCAGAGTTACAGTAGGTGCCCTGCTTACACTGGCACTCACGATCAGCCGTACTGGAGCATTTGGTCACTTCCTCTTGGTCTGTGGAAACAAGTTAGTCATCAGGGTGGAGTTTGTCCTAACGTACACCATTCTATGACACAGTAAAGTCACTTTCATTGGCTCTTCACCGTAGACACATAGCCCAAACAGCCTCCCAGGAGAGGAGCAGGGCCCACCTAAGCAGTATCCAGCCCCCAACTTCTTCTTCCAAGTGCTTTACCATAGGAGGAGGGGTGGAGTAGAGGTGAGAAAAAGCCCATCAAGGCCTTTGTGTCAGGTAAGGAGTGTGAAGAAGCCAGAGTTGGCCATCTGTCTTAGCTACCTGTGGTCCCTTTCCCTGTCAGTGTGCATGCTTTAACCATCAGTGGGGAGGCTGCTGCCATGGCCACAGCTACACACTTACCGTCCCGGCACCCAGAGCAGGGAAAGCACCTAGATTCACTGTTTTTGTGGTCTGTGAAGTAGTTAGACTCACACGGAGCACATTCACTCTTATCATGGTTCTTCTGGCATGGATTAGTGAGATAAAAGCCTATATGAGAGGAAAAGGAAAGGTTTAGGGGCCTGGCAAAAGCGCTATTCCCTGATGCCCCTGGTGGCCAGACCTCTCACACTAACCACTCCTGAGCTCCTAGCCTCCTTGGAACTTTCTAGTTGGATACCCAACCACAGTCTTCACACTTAACATGTGGAGGCCTTGTATTACCCCTTGGCTAAGACTGATGTCCTCCAGGGTGTCTGTGTAAGGTTCTTCCTCTCTACACCGCTGTCCCAGCGAGTGGGCCTACAATCAGCTGATATGTACACTTCTCCCTCCCATGCCAGGTTCCTGACTGCCCAGAATGGTTTCGAGGAACTCCAAATTCTAAAGATGAAGTCCCTGGTCAAGGTCTTCAGCACATTAGTTACATGGTGGCCATCTTCTCAGCCTATGGCAGAAGCACAGGAGAGACACACATCCCTAACAATATGATCTCTGCAAGTGTGCTGGCTTCTGCATCGTTCAATCAAATCAGTTCCATCTCGTTTCCGCAATGTGCTTGTAGGGGTGTGCCCACACATGGCTATGTGCCCCTAAGTGTGTGCAAGTGTGTGCACAGACCCAAACAGGTGTCCACTGACTCATTTGCATATAAGTGCACATGTAAGTGTGTCTGCAGGTAGGTGTGCTTACAGATATGTGTTGATAGCTGTGTAGGATGGGGGCAGGGTCCAGGTGCAGACACTCATATGCCCTTTCTTCAACAGCTCCTTGCTTCTTCTGCAGAACACACCACACCCACCTCTCTGGTTTCTGTCCTTGAAAGCCAGGGGCAGTGCTTGGGTAGGGGAAGGGTGGATAGGAGGCAGTTGGTTGCCAAGGTGACACCCATTTCCCTTCTTCGGTCAGATCCACCTCTCTCAGTGCAGTCTCTGGTTCAGCCCTAGCTAAAGGCCTGTAGCACCTTTTCTTTCTTTCTTTCTTTCTTTCTTTCTTTCTTTCTTTCTTTCTTTCTTTCTAAGATTTATTTATTTATTTTATTATGAGTACACTGTAGCTGTCTTCAGACACACCAAAAGAGGGCATCCAATCTCTTTATGGATGGTTGTGAGCCACCATGTGGTTTCTGGGATTTGAACTCAGGACCTCTGGAAGAGCAGTTCGTGCTCTTAACCACTGAGCCATCTCTCCAGCCCCTGTAGCACCTTTTCTCAGTGAGAAGGCCAGACCTCTGCAAAGCATCCTAGGACTCACCAGCAGAACAGTATTGGCAGCAGAGGTTCTCATGTTTGAACTCATCCGTCTTACACTGAGTTGTGTTGCTTACACCGCAGACTGTCACCTAAAATCAGAAAGGGGAAAACTGCATCAAAAACCAGCCCTATGTGACTCTCAGTGCAGAGGAGGTGAATGGCCCCCAGCCTAACCTTGGTTCCCATATACAGCCTTCCTGCAGAGCATAAACTACAGTTTTGTTCATGTCTCCCAGGCCAACATGCAGATAGGTTCCTCCGTTTCCAAATTCGGGGAGTTTTGTGTCTTTGCCATTGGTGTGTGGCCTGTACGACTGTGAACCTTTGATATCAATGAACTATTTATGTTCTAGCTTGTGTTTATTTCGACAGCCACACCTACAGTTAAAATTTTTTCCCTGATCCATTTATATGCATGACTGTTTTTTTTCTGTATGCAAATATGTACAGCATGTACATGCCTGGTGTCCTTGGAGAGAAGAGAGTGTAGATCCTCTAGGAATGGAGTTAAGATGGTTGTGAGCTGCCATGTGGATGCTAGGAACCCAATCTAGGTCCTTTGCAAGAACAGCCATGGTTCTACCCACTGAGTCATCTCTCCAGTTGTAACCTACATTTTAAGAACCTATGTTACAGCTGGAGAGATGGCTCAGCGGTTAAGAACACTGAATGCTCTTCCAAAGGTCCTGAGTTCAATTTCCAGAGTCTACCTGGTGGTTCACAACCATCTGTAATGGGACCCAATGTTCCCTTCTGGTATGTGTGAAGACAGCTACAGTATACTCATATACATAAAACAAATAAATCTCTAAAACAGAAAAGAAATTGTTACAGCCAGGACTACACAAAGAAACCCTGTCTCAAAAAACAAAACAAGCAAAAAAAGAAAGTTATGTTTGTAAAGTTTTGTGTGTCTGTCCCCACATATTGTACATGTACATACATTTGTATACATACAAAGTGTGCTCATTGCGTGGCCTCAGTTTTTTATAACCTTACTGGTTTGTTTGTTTGAGATGTAGCCCTAGCTATACTGGGAACTAATATGTAGCTCAAGCTGGTCTCAGACTCAGATCTGCCTGCCTCTGCTTCCTCAGCGTTAGGATTAAAGGTGTGCACCATCAACTCTCAGCCTTTTTTTATTTATTATTATAGCCATGGTATAATAATAATGGTGCCTGGGCCATGGTATGCATTTGTAAATGAGAGGACAATGTCGTAGCATCCATTCTCTCCTACCTACACACGGTTCTGAGATTGAACTAAAGCCAGTAAGCTTGCATGACCACCCCTCTGGCCCCATGATCTTACTAAGACAAGGACTATCGCTGGGCGGTGGTGGCGCACGCCTTTAATCCCAGCACTTGGGAGGCAGAGGCAGGCAGATTTCTGAGTTTGAGACCAGCCTGGTCTACCGAGTGAGTTCCAGGACAGCCAGGGCTACACAGAGAAACCCTGTCTCGAAAAAAACCAAAAAAAAAAAAAAAAAAAACCAAAAAAAAAAAAAAAAAGACAAGGACTATTACTGAACTCAGAGTTCAGTTTTGATTAGAATGGCTACCAGTGAGTTCCCAGAATCCACTCCCCTACCTCCCCCGTGCTGGAGTTATAGGCACATGCCACCATATATCTGGCTTTTATAGGATGCTGGAGGTTGTCTCTCCAGCCACCCCACTTTGGACACAGTTTCATGTTTGCTTACTTAACCAGTATATTTGATCCTCATTATTCACAAATTGCATATTTGTCAATACAACTATTCCTTAACATTTATTCCTATACCAAAATCAGTAGTATTTTTTAGCTATTCACCAATATGCACAAAGGGTCAAAAAAAAAACTCCCTAGGGGTGGAGAAATGACTCAGTAGTAAAGAGAATTTGCTATTCTTTCAGAGGACTCAGTAAATTAGATTAATTACACACACACACACACACACACACACACACATGCATGCATACACACATGTACACACGCACACACTGAGACAGCACCTCATTATGTAGCTTGGATAGCCTGGAACCTGCTATGTATCCAAGCTGGCCTTCAACTCACAGAGATCCACCTGCTCCTGACTCTTGAGTATGAGGATTAAAATGTGACCACACTGGGCTGTTAAGATTTCCTGAGTCACCTGACACATCCTCTCAGCTGAAGGTAAGCAAGGACATACTTTTTGTTCTCACTTCACCTCTCACTGCAGGAATGTGTTTATTTTACCGGATATCAGTCACCCTGGCTTCTGAATCTTTTGTGGTGTATTGCATGGGTTATCTTGCTGTTTAAAATGGCTCCAAGCATAGAGGTGAGAAACTGTTTCCTGTTCCGAGTAGTAGAATGTCCTAATACCCTTACAGATAAACTATATGTGTTAGAGAAACTGCTAGAAGCGTGAATTTCAGACTGTGGAGCATGGGTTGAATATTAACCAACATAGATTACATAAGATTTAAACACACATAAAATAATTGACTAAGCAGTTTTTGAAGGTGGGCAGACACTTGTAAGGACACACCTCTGGGGCACGAGGACCTGAATTTGTAACAGTATCATTCACATAACCTGGACTCGGGAACATCTCTAACTCCAGCCCCGAGGATGGAGACAGGCCTGAAGGTCATTGGAAGCCAGCAGAACTGAATGTATTAGCTCTAGGTTCCCTGAAAGATCCTGTCTCCAGGGCTGTGGTGATGGCTCAACGGTTAAGAGTTCTGGCTATGCTTCTAGAGGACCTGGGTTCCATTCCCAGTAATCACATAGTGGCAAACATCCATCCATACTCTAGTTCCAGGGGACCCAACATCCTCTTCTGACCTCTGTGGGCACCAGGAATGCACACGATACACATAAACTTGCTTGACACATACACCTAAACATTTTTTTTTAATCTTAAAATTTAGCTATTTTTATGTATATGAGTGTTTTGATTGAATGTGTGTGCCCCATACCTGTGGAAGTCTCCATACCTTTAAATTTTGTTTATTTGTTTGTTTTCGAGACAGGATTTCCCTGTGTATCCCTAGCTGTCCTGGAATTTGCTCTGCAGACCAGGCTGGCCTCAAACTCAGAGATCTTCCTGCCTTTGTCTCCTAAGTGCTGGGAAACCACCACAGCCAGTTTTTTTAAAAAATGTTTTTTAAAAGAAAGACTTCACCTTGAGAATTATCTAGGAAGGCATCAGCCTTTCGTCTGGGCCTGCATGTATACATGTGCATTCATCTACACATGGAAAGGGAAGGAAGTGGGGAGGGAGGGAGAGAGAGTCTAACCCTGCATGAGTAGTGGCTAAATACTGGCAAGTTTGTCAGTTGGGGCTGTTCTGTTGGTCAGAGTCTCTGGCTTGCTTCCCAACCCCTTCACCCCCCACTCCTACCTCCCCTAGGCCCTCAGGTATTAGACCCAGGACTTCATATATGCTAGGCAACCATTCTGCCACTGAGCTTTATGCTTGGTCTTTTTCGTATTTTTTTATTTTGAGGCAGAGTCTCATTTAATATCCAGGCAGGCCTTGAACTCATTCTATAGATTAGGGAAGGTTTAAACTTGCAATCTTCCTGCCTTGTCCAGAGTAGCTAGGATTACAAGACAGGGTACCAGGCCCATGTTTAGGTTTTTTGGGGGGAGGGGAGTGCAGGGGTTTTGAGACAGGATTTCTCTGTGTAGCCCTAGCTGTCCTAGAACTTGATCTGTAAACCATGCTGGCCTTGAACTCACAAAGATCCAACTCCCACTGTCTCCCAAATGCTGGGATTAAAGGCATGTGCTACCACCACCCATCTAGTTGGTTTTGTTTGGTGACAGGTTCTTGGTAAGTTGCACAGATGTCTTAGTTAGGGTGTCTTCTATTGCTGTGAAGAGACACCATGACCAACTCTTTATAAAAGAAAGCATTTGATTGGGGCAAGTTTATAATCTCAGAGGTTTAGTGCATTGACATGGCAGGAAGCACGACAGACATAGTGCTGGAGAAGCAGCTTGGGAGTTCTACATCCAGATGCAGGCAGCAGGAAGAGAGAGCTACTGGGCCTGGCTTGAGCTTTGGAAACTTCAAAGCTCTCCCCTCAGTGACATACTTCCTCCAACAAGGCCACACTTCCTAATCCCTCTCAAGTAACACCACATCCCAAGGACCATGCATTCAAATATATGAGCCTATGGGGGCCAGTCTTATTCAAACCACCACACCAGGCTAGTCTGAAACTCCTATACCAAGTCATCCTTTTACCTTGGTCTTCTAAATAGCTTGACTACAGGTGTGTACATCCACCCCAGGCTTTAATTTTGTTTTAGAAAAAGTACTGATGCCTTCTGAAATTGAAAAGAAAAAAAAGGGTTGGTCATATAGCTGAGTTTAAAACTGCCTGCCTACCATGGACAAGGCCTTGGGTATGGTTCCTGGTATGGGCAAACTTCTTAAAATAAAATAGTAAAATCAAGGGACTGAAGATGTAGTTGAGTTAGAGTGCTTGTCTAGCATGTATGAGGCCCTGGTTTCCGTTCTCAGCCCTATACAGCATTGATGTGGTGGCACACACCTGTGTTCCCGGCTCTTGGAGATAGAGAGACAGGAGGATCCTTAGTTCAAGATCTACCAAAGGAAGCTGCGTCTTCAGCCCTAATGTTTGTCAGGTTCCAAAGAAACAGGACAAATGGCTGTGGTGCCTATTTAACATATTAAAGCGTTCTGCTGGCCACCAGGCTCCCTCAGTACCTGTGATAAAGTCCTGGCTCCTCAATATCTTATCTATAATAAAAACCTTCTCCACCATGTCCTCATTTTCATTCAATGTTCTCCTTTATTTGTTTATTTCGTGTGTATGGTACATGTGCAGGTGTGGGCACATATGTAGATCCTGTGAATTTGTATGCCTGTAAATGTAGAGGCCAGAGTTTGATTTTGGGTCTCTTCCTTGATTTCTTTCCATTCTGTTTACTGTGGCTCAGACTCTTACTGAATCTAGGGCTTACCTGAAGGAAGTCTTGCCACTTTGGGCTTCCTGAGGGGTTGGGTTACAGATGGGCTACCACATCCAAATGCTTTTATATAGGTTATAGAGATTGGAACTTCGGTCCTAAAGCTTGCCTAGCAGAAGACTTATCCACTGAATCATCTCCTGGATCTCCTTTTTTAATTTGATGTCACTATTGTTAGACATGGTATCATGGAGCCTCAGCTGGGCTCTCACTGTGTGGCTGAGGATGACCTTGAAGTAGCGACCTTCCAGCCTCTACTGCCCCAAATGCTGAGGTCACAGTCTGTGTCATCACAGTCTAAAGCACCGAATAAGTAAGTAAGTAAGTAAGTAAGTAAGTAAGTAAGTAAGTAAGTAAATTAATTAGTAATAAACTAGGAGATGGCTCAGTTGGTAAAACATGTGTCTCACAAGCATCTGGACCTGAGTTTAGGTCCTCAGAAGCCAGGTAGAAAGCTGAACATGCCAGCACTTTCTTGTAAATCCGACAGAGGTGGCTCACTGAGCAGCCTGACCAGGGAAAATCAAAACTTGAAAAGAACAGTATCTTTTCCCTGAACTCCATAAACATTACAGTTAGCCACAGTGACTCACCATTCAGTTCTGTTGTAAAGGAATCCACATGAGAGGAAGTGATATTGTTTTTCAAATTCACATGTGATAGCGGAAAAGAGAAAAAAAAGCAACCCCAACCCTCTATTTTATACTAGGCGTCCATCTTCGTACCAGCTAGCTCTTTGTCTCTGAATCCAGTCCCTGGAAGATAAGCTCATAGTGACCCTGTGCTCTACAGTCAGTGGGACCTGGGAGAGTGGAACTGATACATGAAGCCGACTAAAGTCTCATGCAACAGCCAACTTTATTCAGAGCATCAGATAATTTATACTCTGAGGGTTAAGAAGAGTCACATGAATAAAGTGTACAATCGCAAGGGCAAGATGAATGTGGCAAAAACTTACTTATCCATAGAGGCATATAAATGACAATAGTCATTGTGATGAATAATCTGAAGTGAACTCACTCCTATCTGCTGCACCTGGGAGGGCCACAAAAATACATTCCAAAACCAGTTTCCTGTTTTGAAGAAACTGGGGTCACAAGACTCTTGGTTTTTGGAGTTTTCTCACAAGCACTCAGAATCTTCACACAACTCTCTTCTTCAATCACATTCTGACAAACGTGACTCAGTGACCACCCACCCAGACATGTACAGTGACCATCTACTTGGTATGTTCCTACTAACTCCTTTATGACCTCTGGAATCTGCTCATGCAGACGTTCAGGACACCTTGACTATGTAATCTTCGCAGAGCAAAACAGCTCTTGGCTTCCACGTGCAGACACTCAAGGTCTTCTTGTGATTTTTGCCTTTAAAAAACCCTTCCTTCTGGGGCTGGAGAAATGGATCAGCAGCTAAGACCACTGGCTGCTCTTCCAGAGGACCCAGGTTCAGTTCCCAGTGCCCACATGGCAACTCACACCTGTCCGGGACTCCAGTTCCAGGGGCTGTTAATACTCTCACACAGACATATACGTAGGCAAAAATTTTTAAAAATGAACATAAAATAAAATTAAAATTAAATAAAAATACCCTTTCTTCACCACCCAGTTTTCATGGCAATTTCAAGTTTGGCTCATAGATTGTTGTCCTGCTAACATTAATCAATAAACATTTTAATTATAACTGGATTGAGTCTGTATTCTTTTCCCAGAGGTCAGAAACACTGAGAAAGTACCCAGAATCTAATGCCCATGCACACAACTCCCTTAGGTGGAGAGCTGGCACATTTCTTAGCCTGTGGACACTTGACACCTTGGAGGTTCACAAAAACTTAGAGGTAGCTGAGGTCCACTGACTAGAGGCCAGCCTCTTGGAAGGCACTATTTTCTAGGAGAGAGAATCTCTCTCTATTTTATTTTATTTATATGAGTATACTGTAGCTGTCTTCAGACACACCAGAAGAAGGCATTGGATCCCATTATGGATGGTTGTTCCTGGGAATTGAACTCAGGACCTCTGGAAGAACAATCAGTGCTCGTAACCACTGAGCCATCTCTCCAGCCCCCATCTCAACAGGCAGTGGGGAGGAAGATGTTATTGTTGAGGGCTGACCACTTTCACTCTTGTTTGGTGTGAGGTTAAACGAGAGTCAGCTTGCTTCTGTCAGTTTCTATCACAAACCAGCCATGGTAGCAATAGGAAACAACAGCAGTTTTGAGACAGTATTCTACAGTCTGGGATCCCGCTATAGCTGAGTATGGCTTTGAACTACGGATCCTCCTGAGTCCTGGGATTGCAGGCCTATACATCCCATACCAGGCTGACAGCACAATTTGGGGGAGGGGGAATTCATACTTGAAAAATACCAATGGGTAGTCAAGGCTTGGTGGCTCAGCTTGGGATTCCAGTAGTCACAAAGCTGAGGTAGGAAGACCGGGCTTGGAGCCCAGCCTGGGTTATATAATGTCTGTCTCAAAAAAGAGAAGAGGAACGGACTGGCAAGATGGTTTAGAGGGAAAGTGCTTGCTAGCAAGCCTGACAACCTACCATTGATTCCCGAGAGCCACACGGTTGAAGGAGAGAACCAACTCTTGACCATTGTCCTTGGACCACCATAAGTGAGCCCCCACACAATAAATAAGTAAAATAATAAAAAATTATCAAAAATAAAAGCTAGGGGCTAGAGGGATGACTCATCAGTTAAGAGCACTTGTTCTTGCAAAGGACAGCATGGTGGCTTACAATAATCAGTAACTCTAGCTCTAGGGGAATCTGATGCCCTGTAGCTTCCACAGGCACTCTACATAGGTATACAAACTCTCTCTCTCCCTCTCTCTCCCCTTCTCTCTCTCTTTCTTTCACTCTCTCTCTTTCACTCTCTCTTTCTGTCTCTGTCTCTGTCTCTCTGTCTCTCTCTCTCTCTCTCTCTAACACACACACACACATACACACACATGCACACACACCATACACATAATTAGAATAAAAAAATGTTTATAAGGTAAGAAGGGACAAGGGACTCTCAAAAAATGATGAAACTAGTTTTGTAGAAAAGCTAGCTAGGCGTGTTGGCTCATGTATTTCATCTCAGCACTCAGGAGGCAGAGGTAGATGGGTATTTTTGAACTTGAGGTCAGGCTAGTCTACACTGTGAGTTCCAGGGCAGCTAGAGTTACTAGTGAGTCTCAAAAAGAAACAAAAGAAAGAAAGAAAGAAAAAGAGAAAGAAAGAAAGAAAGAAAGAAAGAAAGAAAGAAAGAAAGAAAGGAAGGAAGGAAGAAGAGAGGAAAAGAAAAAAGAAAAGCTAGATAGCAGGAGGGGAAATCCCACTGCTTTGTAGCAAGAAAAGATAAAGATATAAAACCAACACCTTCTCTGTTAGATGCCCTCACCCCATCCTCTACCTCCACCATACAGGCCAGGAGCTGGGAAAGGAGACCCAACGTTATCACTGGGCAAGATCCTATGTACTGCTCTGGCCATGATAGCCTGCTGCAGCTCCGCTATGGTCCCCACACACTTGTGCCTCTACTCACCCTCAGAAGCAGCCCCAGCAGTAGCAGAAGTGCCAGCTTGTCCATCATAAAAAAGGCAGGACAAGCCAGAGCCGAGAGAGGTGCTGAGTGTGAGGACCAGCCTGTTGCAGCCCAGATGCTGGCCGTGCCAGTGAAGAGGCATTTAAAACCACTCCCTGCTTCCGCTCCACACAAAGACTGACTTCCTTCCTCACTTGAGCTGTTAGTGTTTTGGAAGTTTACAGAGAAGTTCTTCAAAATCTTTCAGGGCTCCACTGGCTCCAAGGGACAGCAAAAGGCACTTCAGTGTCAAGATTCTGAAAGCTGAGGCAGCCCAAGGGATGCATGCATACAATGACCGACAGTGAGTCTAACCAGACCCAGGACTTTGGGTCAGCCTTAAAGAGGAAGGAGAACCTCATATACATTAGATGCCTCCTCCTGGGCCACAAGGAGCTGGCTGGTCTCAAAAGGACAAACAGCGTATGTATCTACTTCTGAGGACCCTAGAGTCTCAGGCCTACTGAGGCAGAAAGCAGGATGAGCAGCTAGACTGGAGAGGGACCGACAGTAAGTAAGTAGCTTATGGGGTTAGAATTTCAGTCCAGTAAGATGGAAAGTTCTAAAGGTGGATGGGTGGACTTGGTTTGATTGCACAACACTATGTATATGATGTGTCCCTTGGAGCTGGTGGCTAGGGATGCGACTCAGTTGGTAGAATGATTGCCTGGATAGTATGGCTACCCAGTCACTGATAGTACACATCTGTAATCCTAGCACTCAGGAAGTGTCAGTAGGAGGATCAAAACCTCAAAGTCATCCTCAGCTATATAAAGAGTTCCAGACCAGCCTGGACTATGTAAAATCCTGATCAAACATAAACAACAAAAAACGAAATAAAACCCAAGAAACTTAGCCTTCTTAGGAAGCCCCAGGCTAGTGAGAGATCATATCTCAACAAAACACGGTGGACGAACTCCGTGGTTAAAAATGCTAACTGTTAGGGCTGGAGAGATGGTTCAGTACTTAAGAGCATGCATTATTCTTATGGTGTGAATGAAAAAAAGAAATGGAAAGGAAAGGAACTCCTAGGTATGGCGGAGGAGAAAGTTTATGGTAGGTATGTGGGAAAGCACAGAGATATCTGGGAGAGTCCAGAGTGGACAAGACCAGACTGAGCTGGGCCATGTGGGGAGAGGGAGAGGGGAAGGGAGAGAGGAGAGAGGGAAACCAGATGCTACAGACAAAAAGCCAAAAAGGTACAAAAAAGGGTAGGTAGCCAAAATGTCTGAAAGAGCTTCTGGGGGAAGGGCAGGTTGTTAGCATTTCCTGTAGGCTCCATCCAACAGTTACCTATCAACAGTTAAGCACTAGCTTGGCTCTTATATGAAAGGACCTTAGTCCCTCTCCCTCTCCCTCTCCCTCTCCCTCTCCCTCCTCTTCTTCTCCCTCTCCTCCCTCTCCCTCTCTTCACTCCCCTCTCCCTCCCTCTCTTCACTCACTCCCTCTTCCTCCATCTTCTTCCTCCTCCCACTTGTTCCCGGCTGGCCTTTCCCCTTCTTTCTCCCTTCCCTCACTTTCTGCCCTCCTCTGCCTCTGCTTCCTTCCTTAGACCCCCTTCCCAGGTCCCAAATCAACTTCCTTTTATACTACACCTGACACCTTGGGGAGGGGACAGTGTGCCTCAGCGTGGGTCAGCTAAGGTATCCCTTTCCACCACATCAAGCCACTGCTTTATAAAACACATTACACAGCCCATCCATCACCCTGGGCTTCAGAGTTCAGGGTGGAGGGTGCCATGTGCCAGCCATATCCTGTAACAGGTAGGGACTGAGGAATGCTGAGAGAACCTGGAGCTAGGTCTGCTTTATGTTAAATAGGGACCTCAGCCACTTGTCCTAGAGGACCTGAGTTTGCTATTCAACACTCACTAATCAATACTGCAGGTAGCAGAGGCCCCCACCAATCAGTCAATACTTCAGGCTTCAGAGACGACACCCTCTAACACACACAGGCCTAGAGCTGCGCTAGAGTTCTGAATATCCAAACATCAGGCCACCCATACCACATCTTCAGTCATAACCTGTGAGAGTGTCACACCTGTGGTCCTTGCATCAGAGCCAGTGTGTGTGTGTGTGTGTGTGTGTGTAGAGGGAGTGGGGGGAGAGAGTTGGTGGCCCATGCCTTTAATTCTAACACTCAGAGGCAGGAGGATATTCATGAATTCAAAGCCAGCTCAGTCTACATGGTAAGTTCCAAGACAGCCAGGACTATCTAGAGAGAACATGTCTTAAAAAAAGAAAGAAGAGAGAGAGAAAGAGAAAGAGAGAGAGAGAGGAAGAGAGAGAGAGAAAGAGAGGGAGGGAGGGAGGGAGGGAGGGAGAGAGAGAGAGAGAGAGAGAGAAGAGAAGGGGAAAGAAAGAGAGAAAGAAAGAAAGAAAAGAAAAGAAAAGAAAAGAAAAGAAAAGAAAAGAAAAGAGTTCATCAGAAGTTCAATGAACAAGCAGGCTGGCCAAGCAATCAAGAGTGCTGGGTGAAGGGGCTGCCAGGAAGTCATGAGTCACCAAGGTTACTGGAATTGACATCAGCTAGGTTTTTAGTAATTTCCAGAAAGCCACATAGGTGCATACAGTGTCTGGAGACAAATAGCTGGTTAGTCCTTAGTCAAACCAGATAAGCTGCTTTTTATTCAGGTTATGTGAGAACCAGAATTATACTTTCAGTTTTTATTACTGTGCCTAAGGGATCCATGAAACAAAAATGCCTCTAACCTGTAAGTTCCACACTGCCTAAGGACAGATACCTACTGAAATGCTGGAAGCTAGTATTTATAGAGGATTGTTGTGTTTATGAAAAGATAAGGAGAAGAGGACTATGTTTTGGTGGATGTATAGTCAGCTGTGGTGGAAGGGGGTACCTCCGTGGGCCCATGCTGAGACATCCCTTCCCCTGAGGGGAATACTATAGTATAGAATAGTATAGAATAGAGTTTATTCAGGGCATGGGGATGGGAGTTGAGAGGGTAGTAGAGACAGAGAAGAGAGAGAGAGAGAGAGAGAGAGAGAGAGAGAGAGAGAGAGAGAGAGGAGAGAGTAGAGGAGTAGAGGCCAGCCTTGAACAAGTGGAGAGAGAGGGGGGAGAGGAATGAGGACAGAGAAGGAGCAAGAAAACAAGAGCAAGAGAGAGCAGAGGAGGCGAGCAGCCCCTTTTATAGTGAGTCAGGCACACCTGGCCATTGCCAGGTAATTGTGGGGTGGAGCTTAGACAGAATGCTAACGGTTCCCTGTTTAATTAAAAAGAAAAAAATTAGAAAGAGGTGATGATGGAGCAGGAATAGGGCTGATTTTGAGGTCAAATGTCTCTAGGAAATTTAGGAAAATGGGGAAGTTGGTCCAGTCTTAGGAGAACTGACTGTTTCCTTGCCGTCCAGGGTCTGTGAAACTGTCTGTGGCTAGATCAGAAGAAACAAGTCCAGTAGAAGTGTCTGTGTCTGTGAGAGGCAACTGGAGCATCTGGAGGTTGTTTCTCTGGAGCTGTCCTGGATGTAGTAAGTGCCTGGACTTGACAAGATGCTGAAACACACACACACACACACACACACACACACACACACACACACTATAGGTAGAGAATAAGATTAGGTATATTTGGGAGAAAGAAATTTTTTTCTTATATGCACATTTGAAACCCAGAGGAATCCCACCCTCTGGAACAGATAGTATGTGGGAACTTTAGGCTATTGATTAGCAGATGTACTTATCTATTTGGAGTCTATTTGGTCCATGAGAGGTAGATCTGAGTGGGTTTCCTGTAGCTTATAATTTTACAAAAGAGATAACAGCATGAGTTAACAACATGAACAGCCTTTAAGATGAGCCTTTTGTGGGGCAGAAGGAACAAGGGCCTTTTCCTGAGACTGGATATACATCACTTTCAATTTACCTAAAAGATAACCAAAAAAACTTAAAATTTGAATTTGTGATTATACAGTTGGATCATATAGTGGAATGTTTAATGCTAGGACAGTGGCATAGCAAGAAGAGGAAACATGAAGCAGTTAGTCAATGGAAACCAAGTTTAGGGAAGGAAGTAACAGAGTGCATCTCTGAAAGCTTACATCTGAATTTGTGTATCATTTATCGTGAAGTCTAAGAAATCTAGTAGTCTTAGCTGGTTAACGAATTTATTAATGAGTAAATATAGTGGTGGATGACCTTAGGGTAAGGAGCTAGGTCTGCTTTCTAGTTGTCAAGCTACAGTTACCTTAGCTGTCAATGTAGTCAGAAATCTGGGGAAGAATAAATTATAATCTAGGAGTCGTGTATTAATAAAAAAATGATAGAGTTCATTTATAATCCACCACTTAAACAGTTTGTTGTTGTCTCCATGGCATCTCGGTCAGAGCCAGTCTGGCTTTCAAATCCAGAAGACAAAGAGCCATTCCTCTGTGGACTAGATAACGTGTGGAATAAGAAATCACTACCTTGACTTAGGCAATATGAGTCATTTGACTCTTGGGGTATGCAATCTTGTCCACAGTGTTTCTCAGTGGTTATCATACCACAATCCAGTCAGTTTCTTGTAGCTGTGTTTATATCTTCTGAGACCTTGAGGGTAAGACGTTAGGCTTTGGGGAGATTCTGTCTGTCATAAACTTAAGTATTTTAATAGTTAGCCGACTTCTGATAAGATTGAGAGCTATATCGATTGGTCATACCTGACTTAGACAACCTGTGTTTGTTAAATATCTTGTTTGAGAATGTGTATAGTAAGTAGAGCATAGAGGAAAGCACAGTTTCTATTAGTAGAGAATCACTTGGCATAGAGTTGGTGTGGAGGACCAGAATGTAAAGGAAGAGAGCTGGCAGCGGTGGCATGAGACCTTGGTGTCAGAAAGTGAATGTGTCTAGGCAAGTTCAGGCCTGTGACACAAACTGAGCGGGCAGACAGGCCATGGGAAAGTAGGAACGGGCCTGGGGAGTGGGAGCGTTGACCCCTTCCATTTCCGACCTTGGCTGGTCGGTGGAGCGAGAGACAGGCACATGCTCATGTGCAGTTGAGGCACCAGGGACGTGCCCGGGCCGGGGCGTGGGATGCGCGCAGTCTGAAAGGCACAGATTGCAAGG